CCTGGGTCGGGACGATGGATAAAAACTAAGGCTGTACCTATAGGTACCCTGGTACATATAGCCGCAAATAGCTTTTCGGACCCGATGTGGATCCGTATAGATTAAATGGCTTTGGAGCCGGGTGTGATAACAATATTAGTATGAAATTTTTAAAAAAAAATGTTTTTTCTCCTTATTTCATAGATTCATAGTTTTATTCTTTTAGTCGTTTTTTTTTTTTTTTCGCTTAAAATTTCTTAGTGCAGGTAGTTGTTTTTTCTTTCTAATTTTATTTTTTAGTTTAAGCCATTTTCGTAGATCAATGTTGTTGTTTTTTTTTAATATAGTAATCAAGATGATTTAGATACATTTATTCTTTGAAGTTTAGAAAAGTTATAATATTAATTTTTTATTTGAAGTTTAGAAAAGTTATAATATTAATTTAATTATTAGTGGACCACGTTATAGAATTCCACCAACAACAGAGAGCGACCAATGTCCAAGCGTTGGTTGATGTGTAACGTGTCCTCATAATGAGCAGATCTGGGAACCGTTATGAGCGGACCAGGCATTATGTTGCGATATGTTAACTAGAGAGTTGCGCCACCCACTACCACTAAGTTTAAAAAAAAAAAAAAAAAAAAAACTCTAGCTCGCCGAAAATGCCACCCCTCATTATAATTTTTTTTTAAAAAGTGGTACCTGTATGGACCACCCCTTCCACAGCCCCCTTCCTATGCAAGTGGATTGACATTTTCTCGACAATAGTGAGTCATAGTAGGCAAATAAGCTATTTTAATGGTCTGTGGTTGGTCAGCTCTAATTTGATAGATGGAAATTAATTATTTAGATGCCTCCTAAGTTGACTCTGGTTTGTGGTGAGTAAAATGAGAGGCAGTGTTAGTGATTTTATGTATCTGGATGGAGCCAAGTTGCTTTTTTGTTAGTCATCTGTTTGGTATTTATTTCGCTACTGACATGTATTTCATTACTTTCCCGCTTTTTGCCTCTTAGTCTTAGTAAATCACCAGCTACTTATTGAGAAAGAAATCGAAACTGTCACAAATTTTAAGAAAGTAAATTTACAATTTTATTTAAAGTTTTAACAAACATTCCCCGCTTAACCCCCACCCTCAAAATTCTAGCCGCGTTAGTCCGTAATGGATGCACAACCGTGCAAAGGAAAAGCAGCGCCCTGGGCGAATGTGCCTCCTGATATTGAGGTCCTTTGCGAGTACCACCTTTACATGGCTGTGCATGGATACAGTGGGCTAGAAAGAAATATCAGACAAAGTAGATAGATTTATAAAATAAAAATAAAAAATATTTAAATCTAAATATATTCATTTTATTTTGTGCAAAGTTGTCTGTAGTGGACATTAGTAATTTTGTATTATTTAACTTACCTTACTGTTGTACTTAGTAGTATTTTAATGAGACATGGTTATTTTTACAGGTACTTGTCCAACTGCAGGCAGAAGAAGCCATGATCATCATGCTGAAGGTGACTTGTACAGCAGATTTCTCTTGCAGCAGTTAATGGTATTGACCAGGTGAGCTTGTGTAGATTGATTATGTTAATGTATGCATTTATGTTGTAGTTAGTTGGACAAATTTAATGCATTTCTTTTGTTTTAAATTATCATCTAAATGGTTTATCATAATACTTACAGTACTAGTTTATAATTTTTTTGTCGTCAGTTCCAATGCAAGCTAAGAAGCAGTCACAAAGATGATGCTGACCTGATTGTTGGATCTCAGGCAA